ACCTTCCCACCAAAGGTGGTCCCTATTTTTCTACTTGCATTTTTTTACGTGCTTTCGAACTGCTAGGTTGGCAGAAGCTGGGACAAGTCACGGGAGCTCACCCCGTTACGCGGCACTAGGGATTCGAACCGCTGAACTGCCGACCTTTCGATGGATCAGTTTCAAAGAAAGATATAATACCAAATATCAAAATATCAATAGGAAATCTAAAAAAAAAAAACCAAAAAATTGAAAAAATGAAAGAGGAATCAAAGTTAAAAAGTGACAGAAAGATAAACCTGACTTCTGACTTTCTCCGGTATGCATATATAATAATTAGGAAATCTAATTCTTACATAATAACAATAGGAAATCTTAAAAAAAGAAAAAATGAAAAATGTAAGGGGAATCAAAGTTAAAAAGTGACAGAAAGATAAACCTGACTTCTGACTTTTCTCCGGTATGTATAATAATTAGGAAATTAATTCTTACTCAATAGGAAATCTGAAAAAATTGAAAAAATGAAAGAGGAATCAAAGTTAAAAAGTGACAGAAAGATAAACCTGACTTCTGACTTTCTCCAGTATGCATATATAATAATTCTTCAGCGTTGTATTCCATAATACTTTTTAACTCAATAAAAATGTTAAGCAGGAAGACTTCTTTAGTGTTTTTCGATATTGATATAGCTTTTTTGAGAAGTGGCTACAGCAAAAGATCAGCCCGCACCCGTTTAGTGATAATGAAAGCCGTTCGGGTATTCTGTTCTTCTTTGTCTTTAGTTTGTTATTACTCTTGTTGTGGGAAAGTGTTGCACGTTTTGTAACCCGCGAAAATATAGAAAAGCAAGAAGCATTCCGATTCAGGTGTTGTTTTTGCCTCTGTTAACCAAGCAAAAGTGTTTGGAAAAAATTGGAGAGTCCAAATAGGAGCTCGGGACTTTGGAATTGGAATAGTCTTTATTGGCCAGATGTGATTGGACCCACAGAGGATTTGTCTTGGTGCACAAGCTCTCAGCGTACATGCAAACAACAAAGGGATAAGTCAAAGTTGATAAAACCCGTAAGGTACAATCATAATTCATAAAAGTGATAAATCATAAAATACCAATAGGAGAAGGTAGTAGGAAAGTTGAGAATATGAAAAGGATAATAGCTGTTTAGCCCTACTACATGAATCAATATCTTTAGGCCTAAAACAGTGCTGTGGGAATTACTGTATTTTTCAGAGTATAAGACGCACCGGAGTATAAGACGCACCTTAGTTTTGGGGTTGATTGCCGGGTGGATCGGCTTCCTGGAATACCCCCAATCAGCTGTTCCCAGAAGTGAATTTTAGCAACAGGTTCCTTGGTTGTGAGCTCTGTGCTTTGCTTTTTTTCCAGCCTCTGAAACCTCTTGTTTCAGAGGCTTTTTTTCTGCCTCTGAAACTTCTGAAACTACGTTGCAGAAAAAAAATTTTTTCTGCCTCTGAAAGCTTCCGAAACAGAGCTTGAGAAAAAAAGGCTTTTTTTCTGAAGCTCTGTTTCGGAGGCTTTTTTTCTGAAGCTCTGTTTCAGAGGCTTTTTTTCTGAAGCTCTGTTTCAGAGGCTTTTTTCTGAAGCTTCTTTCAGAGGCTTTTTTCAGCCTCTGAAATCTCGGTTTGAGAGGCTGGGCGCGGCTACATTCCAAGTATAAGACGCACCCAGATTTTCATCCTCTTTTTTGGGGGAAAAATGTGTGTTTTATACTCCGAAAAATATAGTAGGTATTTAACAGAATGGGGGGACAGACACACTCTCTTTGTGACTATTGTTTTGGCATGAAATGCTCTATAGCAAGGGTCTCCAACCTTGGCAACTTTAAGACTTGTGGACTTCAATTCCCAGAATTCTGGGAGTTGAAGTCCACAAGTCTTAAAGTTGCCAAGGTTGGGGACCCCTGCTCTACAGCAGCATCCTGAGGGGAGAAGTTGAAGCAGTTTATGTCCAGGATGTGAAGGGTCTGTAGATCTTTTCTCAGCCCCCTTTCTGGCTTGTGCAGTACAAAAGTCCCCAATGGAAGCCATGCCATTTGCTGGACTGAGAATGGAGAAATGTCTCTTGTCTTCCTCCTAGACAACTTCTGTTTATCATTAGGTTTACTGACTCTCCTATTCTGGAAAGCACCAGAGGGCAGGACAAGAATTCACAGGTGGAAGATCATCCAAAGACAGACCCAACCTAGAACTAAGGAAAAACACTTCCTGACAGTGAGAACAATTAATCAGTGGAACGGGTAGTTGTGAGAGCTTCCAACACTGGAGGCCATTAAGATTAGGTGGCCATTTGGAGATGGAGTCAGGAATCAGACTATAAGCTTCAAAGCAAGGCTTCAACCAAGATCAAAGAGGGCCATATTTCATTTTCATTTTTTTTTTTCATTTCATTTTCATTTTATTTGATTTATATACCGCCCTACTTCCGAAGGACTCAGGGCGGTGAACAGGCACAAGATAAAACACATAGAATACAAAAATTTAAGAGCAGAAGTAAAATCGAATTAAATCAATTTAGCCCAAGACAAATTTAAAACCCCAGGTTAAGAACAAATTAAAATTTACATTAAAATTTACATTAAAAAGAGAATGGGAGAGGTTAGGCCAGACCAGCCTGGTGAAATAAAAAGGTCTTGAGAGCGCGGCGGAAGGTGCGTAGATCCAGGATCCTCCGTATCTCCGGGGGGAGCTCGTTCCAGATAGTAGGTGCCCCCACAGAGAAGGCTCTCCCCCTGGGGGCCGCCAGCCGACATTGTTTGGCCGACGGCACCCGGAGGAGTCCCTCTCTGTGAGAGCGTACCGGCCGGTGGGAGGCCGTTTGCGGCAGCAGGCAGTCCCATAAATAACCAGGTCCTAAGCCATGGAGCGCTCTAAAGGTGGTAACCAAAACCTTGAAGCGCACCCGGAAGACCACCGGGAGCCAGTGCAGCTCGCGCAGGAGAGGTGTCACACGGGAGCACCATGTTGCTCCCATAACCACCTGCGCGGCCGCACTCTGCACCAGTTGGAGCCTTCGGGTGCTCCTCAAGGGGAGTCCCATGTAGAGAGCGTTACAGTAGTCCAGACGGGAAGTGACGAGGGCATGAGTGACCTCCTTGATTGAAGACTGGGTTATGTGTAAGTGGCCATCACACTTAACAAACATCCCTAATTTTGATGTCTCTTCTTTTGGCAAGAAACAACACAAGGATAAGGGACAGGATTGCTGTAGAGTTAGGATCTGCATGATTTTGCCCCGTATCTGGAGCATTAAAAAGCATTGCAAGCAGAATTTGATAGAACAGGAAGGCAGAACTTACAGCTGGAATAGAATTGTACAGTGGATATCCTTCACTTTGTGTGAACTCTTTGTGATGCCTTAAAGCCCACCTTGCTGGCTTGGGGGTTGCTGTTATTTTGACGAAGCAAATGCAGGGAAGCTCCAGCTTAAACCTACAAGTTTAGCCACCCAGGCTCACCTGGGTCTGGGACCATTCGTCTCCTACCTTTGGCTGCGCCTACTTTTCCTCCAAACTTCCTCCTTGGGCGATTCTCCTCTGACCTTTCTCCTCGGTTGACATGCCCCTACCAATTCGCCCTGGGCCAGGCGGTGAAAAACCCAGGACGAACCCTCCTTCTGCGAATCGGCCGTGCTGAAGCACGTGGGACGGAGGGGCCGTGGCCCATTGCTCAAGGCGAATCGGGGGGGGGGTGTCAGCTGAGGAGAAAGGTCAGAGGAGAATCACCCAAGGAGGAAGGCTGGAGGAGAAATAGGCACGGCCAAGGGCAGGAGACGAATAGTCCCATTCCGGCTCGCCTTGTAGGGGAGACGGGTGGCATAGCAATTTGATCAAATCAAATCAAATCAATGCAAGTGTAGATTTAATAGAATTTGAAACCGCGATGCAAATGGAACAATATATGAGAGAATCTCATCTCTGCCTTTGGTAATTCCCCCCTCTTTTCATTATCCCCCCTGATGATGGTGGCCTTTGCTCTTCCTTCCCCCCAAACAATCTTTGGGGCCATCTCCATTGCCCAGACATCTCTTCGCTGTACTATCTGTTGTTTTATTTTGAATGTAGCAAGAATTATTGAATAAATATGGTTAGGAACGGAACCAGGGTTTTGTTCTGACGTAGGCTTCCCAAGAGCATGAAGCAGACTCCTTGTCCCGACAAAATCCCCTTTTAATTAAGTGACTGTGAATTCTTCTCATTCACATCCAGCAACGTCTTTCAAGGGAGAATTGACAGTCACAGACCTTATCTGGCTTGGAGAGCTGCCAGGCCGATATCTTCAAAACTTGGCAAGGAGTCACGAACCAATTAAGCGAACTAATTGTCTCCTGCAAACTCCACTCCCCTTTCGCTCCTCTTTTATTTCCTCTGGGAGGGGCCCTTCATCGTCCACCTGTGGTCTTACTCCCTAGTCGACCCTTGTTCTTTAGCTGTTCCCTTCGTCTGGCAACTCTGTACATGCGCATGCTGGGAACAGGCCCCAGCTGTTCCTCTGCCTCACTGATGTCTGACTCTGAAGGCAGCTGATAGGTGTTACGTCCGGACGGCAAGCACGAGCGGCCAATAGAGCAGCCAATTGGTCCGTGTGCGGCAGGTAGCCAGCGGGAAATTGGTGGCTCCTGATTGGCCCAGCTGAGTATAAAAGAGCTGTCAGTGCCTCAAACGCTGCTCGCTCTCCATGGTAGTTAGCTAACCAGAGCGAGTCACTGTTAGCTGTTATTGTTAGCCAATAAACATGTTGTGAAGTGTTTATCCTGCCTCACCTCCCTTCTTTAGCCTTTGTTCCGTGAATAGAACAATAACTGTCATATGGCCCTAGCCCCATCTCTGCCTCCGATACAGAGCCCTCATCAGAGCCTTCCCCAGACTCCAGGACTGGCCCATGTTCCTCCCCAACCTCCTCACTGTCCGAATCTGCTGTCAGCTCCGCTGGCCACTAGCCACTGGCGGGCCACAACAGGTTTCAAGGAGCAATGCTAATCCAAGGCCCCGGGTCTGTCTTTTCAGCTTTGAAACCATGTTTTGGAATGGAGGGTTTTGGAGATGGACCTTGGCACTGCAACTGTACCTCCTACTTCTGACTTCACGGACACGGGCTGGCACAGAGGCCTTGGCCCCACCTCCCATCACAGCAGCCTCCTTTCTGCAGGACCTTTTCCTCCGTTATGGTGAAGAGGACAAGCTCAGCCTGCAGCAGTTGAAATCTCTGTTGGGACACCTGCACGTGGGCGTCGAAAGGCACAATGTCAGTCACGCACGGCGGCGGCAGCCACACCACCGGAACATCTCCTGGGTAATCACCTCTGCTTTCCCATTATGACTCTCTCCTCCTTTTCATTTCAGAAGAATCTTCATCAAAACCACCCCCCACCCCCAATTATTACATATTAATGTAACTTATCCAGAGAACCTTTGCGCATGTGTAGATTGACGTACAATTCAGGGCTTATGGTGCTTTCATAAGAATTTTAACCTTGGAATTACATTAGAAGAAAACAAACTTACCGTATTTTTCGGAGTATAAGACGCACCGGAGTCTAAGACGCACCTATCTTTTTTGGTGAGGAAAAGAAGGAAAAGAAATCTGCCTCTGCCTCCCAGCAATTTTGCCTCGTTGCTTTAAAGCCTGCTTTACTTGACTTTCATTTTCGTTTTCAGCATAGCTTGATTAGCACAAGGGGGAAAAAAAAATCTGCTCCCAGCAATTTACCTCTTTGCAGCAAGCAGCAGAGCCTGTGCAAAACAGCTGAGAGCAAATCAGCTGAGAGTCAGGAGGCCGGTCCAATCAAGTTGTGCTAATTAGGCTGTGCTGAAGCTGAAAGGAGCTGAAAAAAGCCTCTGATGATTGCGCAGCTCAGCTGAGAAATGGGGAGGGGGCAGGGATTTTTGCTACCAGTTCTCCGAACCACCCGCCTCCATTGCTACCGGATCGGGCGATCCGGTCCGAACCGGGAGCATTTCACCCCTGGTTCAAAATGGGAAGAGTTATATCCTACAGTTTTTGCTCTGTTGGGAGGGTTCATCTAGAGGAGAGTCTTTGGAAAAAGGAAGAGGGGTGGGCTTCAAAAATTTTAGCAAAAGGTTCTCTGCCCAGTTGCTGGGTAGGCGTGGCCATGGTGGGCGTGGCCTAGTCGGTCTTCTGCTCCACGGTGTGGGGGGGGGACATTTTTGCCCTCCCTGGGCTCTGGAGGCTTTTTTCGAGCCTCCGGGAGGGCGAAAACGCCCTCCCCAGGCTCCGGAGGCCCTCTTCCGGCTTTCCCGAATTTCCGGTAGGCATGTTTTTCGCCCTCCCTGAGCCTCCCCACGTGCCCTGCAGTTACCTGCATCCAAAATGGGCCGTGTGGGGACTCCTAGGAAGGGAGGGGAGGGGTGGGGCCAGCCACGAGTGGGATTTGGGGGTTCCAGCATCGCTGGCTGGGGGGTTCTGCGAGTTGAAGTCCACCCATCTTCAAGCTACCAAGGTTGAGAAACACTGTTGTAGAATATCAAAAACTGGCGGTAGGAGTTGCTTCTGAACAGGGTGGATAAAAATCAATGATTTTTTTAAAAAAATCAAAAAAATCTGGTTTTTTTGGCTTTAAATTGGATTTTTTTGCTTTAAATCGGATTTTTTTTATTTTTGTCGAATTTATTTTAATAAAAAACTTTTGGGATAAAAATCTATCGTAAGATAGTTTTCTATTTAAGATACATAAATAATTTAGTTTATTCAGCATGAAATGGAGCTTAGTTCTGTAGCAGGAGGCTGTATATTCTGCAACACTGGGACTATCGGTGAGTCAACAGTGGGTCAAAGGAGTAGCAGAGATGACAGTTGCTCTTTCAAAATTATGATTTAAATCGAGTTGGTTTAAATCAAGCCTTTTTACTAGTGATTTAAATCATGATTTAAATCGTGATTTAAATCGACTCGATTTAAATCAAATCCACCCTGCTTCTGAATGCCTGAGAGGGAGGGAGAAGACGCTGTGGTTGAGAAGTTAAGGAAAGGTGATGAGAGGAAGTGCATCACCTGCATATCTGAAGACGCCCAAGACCCGCTGTGGAAATCTCAAACCTTTTTCGCCTTGTAGTGCTTCAGTTCTTCGGAACTCTTCGCCACCCACAATCTGAGTGAATCGTCCCATCTGGGGCAGAGCGAGTTCAAAGACTTCTGCCCGACTATCTTGCAGCAGCTGGAGTCCAGGGCCTGCATGCCAGAGAACCTGGAGAAGGAAGAAGAGGAATGGATGAAGGAAGGGAAACCAAGCGCTACAGAAGGTGCGTGCACTCGACCCGTTTTATCTGGCGCCTTCGTGGCATTTAAGCCTTAATCTTCCTAATCACCTTCTCAAGATGTTGGGTGAAGAACAAGAGTCCTTCTAATCCGTTTTCCCTTTCTGGTTGCCTCTGTGCTATAAAGGTTAGTCTTGTAGCACAGAAGCTGCAAGAAACAGAGGGATTAAAAGTGGACGTACAAAGCTTTATTCTCTTTTAATTTTTTTTTTTTAAATGTGTGCGTTGCTTTCCAAAACTGGTTTTCAGGAAGCTTCTGAGCCTGCTTGCAAAGATGCCTTTACGACCGCTTAATTTCAAGTAAGTATCTACTTCGGAGAGTCAGTTTGGTGTAGGGGTTAAGATGCTGGCCTAGAAACCAGGAGTTGTTGAGTCCTAGTCCCGCCTTAGGCGTGAAAAAACCTGGCTAGGTGACTTTGGGCCAGTCACCAGGAGACTGTGAGTTCTAGTTCCTCCTTAGGCAAGAAAAAGCTAGCTGGGTGACTTTGGCCCAATCACAAGGAAACTATGAGTTCTAGTTCCACCTTAAGTGTAAAAACTGGCTAGGTGACTTTGGGCCAGTCACCAGGAGACTGTGAGTTCTAGTTTCCTCCTTAGGCAAAAAGCTAGCTGGGTGACTTCGGTCCCATCACAAGGAAACTGAGTTCTAGTTCCACCTTAAGTGTAAAAACTGGTTGGGTGACTTTGGGTCAGTCACCAGGAGACTGTGAGTTCTAGTTCCACTTTAGGCGTGAAACTGGCTGGGTAACTTTGGGCCAGTTCCCAGGAGACTGTGAGTTCTAGTTCCTCCTTAGGCAAGAAAGCTAGCTGGGTGACTTCGGTCCAATCACAAGGAGACAATGAGTTCTAGTTCCACCTTAGGTGTGAAAACTGGCTGGTGACTTGGGCCAGTCACCAGGAGACTGTAAGTTCTAGATCTTCCTTAGGCAAGAAAGCTAGCTGGGTGACTTCGGTCCAATCACAAGGAGACAATGAGTTCTAGTTCCACCTAGTGTGAAAACTGGCTGGGTGACTTTGGGCCAGTCACCAGGAGACTGTAAGTTCTAGATCTTCCTTAGGCAAGAAAGCTAGCTGGGTGACTTCGGTCCAATCACAAAGAGACAATGAGTTCTAGTTCCACCTTAGGTGTAAAAACTGGTGGGTGACTTTGGGTCAGTCACCAGGAGACTGTGAGTTCTAGTTCCACATTAACTGTGAAAACTGGCTGGGTAACGTTGGGCCAGTTCCCAGGAGATGGTGAGTTCATGCAAAAACTATGATGCCTCTTTTGGTCCCTTAAATTCCAATTTTTCCAATTTAGGGGTTTTAATGTAATTTTTCTAATTTAGGGCCTTTAATAGGTATTGTAGGTTTCTTATAGCCTTGCAGCCTTAGACCACCCATTTAATCCCTTCCATCCCCCAAAATAAATTTTTTTTTAAAAAAAAGCAACAAAGAGATGTACAAAAATGTTGACCTCGTCCTTTTGGTGGATTTGGGAGTGGGAGTTATATACAAATATAAATATATGTAAAATATATTTAATATATGTAAATATATGTAAGTAGGATGTAAAATATATGTAAATATATGTAAAATATATTTAATATATGTAAATAGGATGCTGAAGAAGTTATATACAAGATCTGAAATGATCGGAGCACAATTCCTATCTTTCAGAGATAGGACAATTAGGCCCTTAGTTAACAAACACAGTTTTGATGTATTTTATCCCAAGTTTCTCTTTAAAAAATAATTAACCCATATTGCTTTTATTTTTATTATTTTTTTGGCCGGTCACGGTACCACGGCTGGTTTGCTTTGGCTATAAGCCGGGCAATCCAAGCCAAACTTTTATTGAATGACATAACTCGGATGACATTGCGGTGAGCTTTTTCAATTTCTCAAAACACACGTTCAACTTTTCCATTAGGACTTTGTTTTTCAACCTCAAGCTTTAGCCTCGTCAAGTTACAGGTCGGCTCCCCTGCCGGTGTCTGATCTTTTGACGCCGTTCATGGACTAAGGTTTGAGTTATAAGATGGAACGGCTTCCTTCGCCCACCCCCACGCCTCCCCGGAGGAAAAAATGGGGGGAATTAGCCAACTTGTTTGGAAGAGTTGCTGGTCAAAAGCTTCCAAGTTAACTTGCAAAAGAACTTTTCTGGCGTTAGCTTAGACCACGGGTATCAAATTCAAGGTCTGCGGGGCAGTGCTGAAATCAAATTTTTTAAAAATACCGGTTCTGTGGGTGTGGCTTGGTGGGCGTGGTGTGGCTTGGTGGGCGTGGCAGGGGAAGGCTACTGCAAAGTCTCCATTCTCATCCCACTTCTGGGGGAAGGATACTGCAAAATCCCCATTCCCTCCCCACTCCTGGGGGAAGGGATACTGCAAAATCCCCATTCCCTCTCCACTCCAAGGGAAGGATACTGCAAAATCCCCATTCCCTCTCCACTCCAGGGAAAGGATACTGCAAAATCCCCATTCCCTCCCTACTCCAAGGGAAGGATACTGCAAAATCCACTTTCCCTCCCCACTCCAGGGCGAAGGATACTGCAAAATCCCCATTCCCTCCCCACTCCTGGGGGAAGGATACTGCAAAATCTCCATTCCCTCCCCACTCCAGGGTGAAGGATACTGCAAAATCCCCATTCCCACCCCACTCCAGGGGGAAGGATACTGCAAAATCCCCATTCCCTCCCCACTCCAGGGAAGGATACTGCAAAATCCCCATTCCCTCCCCACTCCTGGGGGAAGAATACTGCAAAATCTCCATTCCCACCCCACTCTGGGGCCAGCCAGAGGTGGTATTTGCCGGTTCTCCAAACTGCTCAAAATTTCCGCTACCGGTTCTCCAGAACCTGTCAGAACCTGCTGGATTTCACCCCTGCCGCGGGGTGCTTAGATCTGGCCCGCAAGGCCCCCCCTTGGAAACTGTGAAGGAGCGGCCCACGGGCGGCCCTCCCAAGCTCCATTTTCGCTGGCAGAGGGTTGCGGGAGGCCGTCACAGCTGAAAACGGAGCTCGGGAGCCTATTTTCACTGGCAGAGCATTTGGGCCACCACAGGTGCCCCCCCACAACACGACACGAGTGACGTCAAGCTGGCCACGCCCCCTGGCCCCACCCACCCCGCCCCCCTGAGGTCAAACTCAACCCTGATGCGGCCCTCAAATTGAGTTTGACACCTCTGGCTTAGACCTTTCCAGCATCCCCTGTGTTTAAAGGCCCATTCTCAGTTTTTAATTATTTGGAGTAAACATGCCCTTCTTTCTTCTCGTTTACAGTGTGGGGTTTTGGGTTCTTCAGTGTTACACTGATTAACCTGGCCTCCCTCCTTGGAGTCTTCATCGTGCCCTGCACTGAGAAGGTCTTTTTCCCACGAATCCTAACTTATTTCATCGCGCTCTCCATCGGCACTCTGTTCTCTAACGCCCTGTTCCAGCTGATCCCTGAGGTGCAGTAAGAACAAACCCTCTCCTGCTCACACATTCCCATCACCCATCACATCCGCCAATTTGTCTTCTGGTGAACCCGATCGGCTGCTGAATTCTCAGCGACTTCTGAAATTGGATTCTTCACCTCTCGGGCCCAGGGAGGTTTCCTAAAAATAGAGGGAGTAGAATAAAGGTTCTGCTTCGTGTGGTATGTCCAGGCATGGGCATGATTTCTATGCCTGCACATGGGACATGTTGACAAAAACCTAGAAGGCAATACTCAAGTCCCCTCCACGGTTAGATAGCAATAGCACTAAGCACTTAGACTTATATACCGCTTCACAGTTCACGGTGCCCTCCCTAAGCGGTTTATAGAGTCAGCGTATTGCCCCCAACAATCTGGGTCCTCATTTTACCCACCTCAGAAGGATGGGAGGCTGAGTCAACCTTGAGCCAGTCAGGATCGAACTGCTGGCAGTGGGCAGAGGGAAGGAAGGAAGGAAGGAAGGAAGGAAGGAAGGAAGGAAGGAAGGAAGGAAGGAAGGAAGGAAGGAAGGAAGGAAGGACAGACAATAGCAATAGCACTTAGACGTAAATACCGCTTCACAGTGCTTTTACAGCCCTCTCTAAGCGGTTTACAGAGTCAGCCTCTTGTGCACAACAATCTGGGTCCTCATTTTACCCACCTCGGAAGGATGGAAGGCTGAGACAACCTTGAGCCAGTCAGGATCGAACTGTTGGCAGTGAGCAGAGGGAAGGGAAGAGAAGAGAAGGGAAGGAAAGAAGGAAGGAAGGACAATAGCAATAGCACCTAGACTTATATACCGCTTCACGGTGCTTTTACAGCCCTCTCTAAGCGGTTTACAGAGTCAGCCTCTTGCCCCCAACAATCTGGGTCCTCATTTTACCCACCTCGGAAGGACGGAAGGCTGAGTCAGTCTTGAGCCTGGTGAGACCCGAAATGTCGAACTGCTTAGCTCTCCATTCCAATCAAAAAAACTGATTTTTTTTTTCCATAGTGCATATTAACAGTGAGAAGTTCTTGAAGGATTGTGCCTCTTAATAAGCTTTGACTATAAATGGAAGCTAGCTTGGTTGCATTTCCAAAGAGCATTATTATAAATGAGAGGTACTTAAACTCCGGGTTTTCTAACACTGGGGTGTCTTTTTGGCCTGTTAAACAATGTAGGTGGGAAAGAGCAATGGCTGAGCACTATAAAGGTCATTTTTTTGTGTAAACGGAAGGAAGAAACGCCATGTTGGCACCGGTATATGGGAGGACATCCTTTTATCTTGACTTCTCAGGTTTCTTTTATCGGTTCCTCTTTCAGTAATTGGTTTATTTTCACTAATGGAGGAGATTTCTTGGAGGCTGTGTGAGATCTAATCTTCAGTAAATTGTGGGTTTTGATTGTACGTTTTGGGGACGTCTTAAATATAGCCATGAACTCTAGTTGCAGGTTTTAAAAGACATCATTGTCTCCTGGTATAACATTCTGGCTCAGCTTTGGTGGCATAGTAGTAAATAACCATGTCTCTTGGGCAAAGGTGAGGATCGCAACGAGAGTTCATTTCGCCCTTTATGGAAAAGACTATTTTTATAGCCTCTGTACTAGTCTTCTTACTAATTGGCTTCTCTCATTTGGAAAAAAAAGAAGAAGAAAAGAATAAAAAGAAATCATTCCTTTGGAAGCCTTTCAACTTTCGCTTTATATGGATACGTATCTTTTCTTTTATATACACTGAGAGCATGTGCACCAAGACAAATTCCTTGTGTGTCCAATCACACTTGGCCAATAAAAGAAAATCTATAATGCCAGGCTATCTATAGCAGGGGTCTCCAACCTTGGCAACTTTACGACTTGTGGACTTCAACTCCCAGAATTCCTCAGCCAGCATGTGCTGGCTGAGGAATTCTGGGAGTTGAATTCCACAGGTTGTAAAGTTGCCAAGGTTGGAGACCCCTGATCAGAGGTGGGCTTCAGCAGGTTCTGACCAGTTCTGGAGAACCGGTAGCGGAAATTTTGAGTAGTTCGGAGAACCGGCAAATACCACCTCTGACTGGCCCCACCCCCATCTACTCTCTGCCTCCCGAGTCCCAGCTGATCGGGAGGAAATGGGGATTTTACAGTATCCTTCCCTTGCCACGCCCACCAAGCCACGCCCACAGAACTGGTAGTAAAAAAAAATTGAATCCCACCACTGCCCCTGATCTATAGCATTGTTTTGCGTAATCCTTTTTTTCCGTAGAGTTCATGGGTATTTTCGTTCCCAAACCGTAAAACGTTATGTTTTGTTGCTTGAAAACTAAAATATGTCTTCGTGATCCAACAGGAACAGAAATAATTGTCGATGTGCCATCTCCATTGTCAAATTGTCTCGTAAACACTGTCGAAATATGACGGTGCCAATCAATTGTCAAGAACCTCGATGACTCGGGCAACAAATATTTCAGTACTGCGCCTGTCCTATAACGGAGAAGCATGTACATAGGCAAAAGATGGCTTGGTTTTGCCTGCATCACTCTTGGGCTCTGGCACTTCATCGCCTTCTTGAGTCTATGTGCTAAACAGATTTGGGGAAAATGTTCTACTACTGGATTAGAGATAACTTGGAAGTCTACCTCGCTGGAGACTTACAGCTTCAGCACCAATCTGAACACTGTGAGTTGGATCGTAAAATTAGCAAGACTTCCAATCTGGTGCAAATTATGAGATTAATACTAGAGACCCTTATAGCGAGGTTATATTTATTGATCTTCATTGCCTGCGGAGGGTCTCTTCCCTTCCCTTGTGTTTTTGATTATTTATTTATTTGATTGGTTGATGAATTTGCCACCCCTCTCCTATCAAAATGACTCTGGGCAGCTTACAGCCCTAAAAACATTAACCTCCTAATAGATGAGCATTTCCAAAACGAGAAAAACGGAAGTCCCAATCAAAATAAAATTGTAGTAAAAAAACAAGGAGAGGGGGAACCAGGATGCACGGGAAGGAGATGGATTGCCCCATAATTCATCAATCATCTCCAGCAAGGTGATGATGCTCCCTCATTGGGGACCCAGGTCATCTGGCAGTACCAAGTCTTCAGGTCCTTGCAGAGGTCAGAAGGATGGGAGCCAATCTCACCTCAGGGGATAAGATGTTCCAAAGAAGGCCCTTCTCCTGGACCATGTTGGACTTCCCATCAAGAAGGAGCTTTCCGTAGCGCTACGGTGCCCAAGAGTGCTTCAAGCATGCCTGAATCAATCTTGATTTGCATATCAATCATTAATAAATATCTTCTCTCTCTCCCTCTCTCTCTCCCTCTCTCTCCCTGTCCTCTGTTCCTTCTCTCCTCTTTTCATCCCTCGGTGTGAATTCATATTTGTACGTTCTGGTTGTTGTTGTTTTTTTCCCTCCTGTGTCTTTCTCCCTCCTGTGATTTCCTCGGGGCGGGGTTGACTCTGGCAGTCTGGGGATACGGTTTCCTGTGTGTGACCATCATTTCCCTCTGCTCCCTGATCGGGGCCAGTGTGGTTCCTTTCATGAAGAAGACCTTTTACAAGCGGTTGCTCCTCTACTTCATAGCTCTGGCCATTGGCACGCTTTATTCCAACGCCCTCTTCCAGCTCATTCCGGAGGTAGGACAAGGGCCTCCGGGCCTGGGTTATGCAATTGTCGATGATTGTGTGGTGTCTGCAGTGTGACCTACTTTGTGGTAGCCGTTCACCGCTTTCCGGGGAAGTGATACAGAATCACAGAATCTCCCTTCATTTGTGCTTAGGGTGGAAATATGCAAGCCATCCAAATATTGGGTTGTGGAGCTGTTAGCACAAGGAAACAATGGACCATTAATTTGGGCGTTTGCCTTTCGGGAAGGGATTTTCTTTTTATTCATGTAAGAGTAAATCAACTCAATCTGGAACCTGGCATCTTGAGAACAAATGTCAAGGAAGGAACACAGATTAAAAGTGCTAATCTAACAGGGCAGGAATCCCTTATCAACAGAAAATCACAGGTCAACTGTGCTAGTTTAAGCCAAAGTGTGATTAATTTAATTTCCTGCTAAATGCTCTGGCAGCAAATATGTTGACCATAGTAATTTCCCAAGAAGAGGGTTAGGGGAAAGACCAATAGGTAGTGGGAAATGTGTTTCCACATTCTACAGCACAGAGAGCTCCAACGCCCGGACCTCTATTGGGCCATGAGCCGTTTGGAACCGGGGTGCAGAAACAGGCGAGCAGGTGTGTGTGTGCATCCCCATTTGTGTGATTAGCACAGAAGAGCGCGTATGTGCGTGTGCTCCATTTGCACGAGCGGCAGGCGTGCGTTCCCGCCGCTTGTGCAAATGGAGCTGCGTGTGTATGCTTGCCGGCCACTTGTGCGGAAGCATCCCCTATCTCTCCCCGTCACCCCCACCCCGGCTGCTCTGCCAAGCTGGAAAGATTGGGGAACTCTGCTCTAGCAGACTCCTTTAATGCAGGGAGGCGTGGGGCATAAAAGGCATTGGCCCTTTTCATCCTGCTTTTGTGATGAAGATTTTTCAGCACAGAGTAGCAGATACTCTATTTCCCTGAAAATAAGACCCAACTGGAAAATAAGCCCTAGTGCAGTGATGGCTAACCTTTTTGCCATTGCGTGCCAAAAGCGGGGGGAGCGCAGGGGTGTCGCATGTGCATGCGCCCACACCCATAATTCAGTGCACCCCGCCCCACCATGCATGTGCGTGCGACCCCTCTGCGTTCTCCCTGCTATTGGCACGCGATGGCACAGTGGGACCGGAAGGCCTGTTTTTCGCCTCCCCAGGCTCCAGAGCCTTTCTAGGAGCCTGGGGAGGGCAAAAACAGCCTTCCCCAACTCCCCCCGGAGGCCCTCTGGAGGCCGGAAATGGCCCATTTCCTGACTTCCGGTGGGCCTGGAACGCCCGAAAATCAGCTGGCCTGCATGCACATGTGCGCTGGAGCTGAGCTAGGGCAACGCTCGCGTGCCCACAGATATGGCTCCGTGTGCCACCTGTGGCACGCATGCCATAGGTTTGCCATCACGGCCCTAGCGTGATTTTTCAGGATGCTCGTAATATAAGCTGTACCCCTAAAATAAGCCCCAGTTAAGATTGTCAGGAAGCATTTAGTACCGTATTTCCCCCAAAAGAAGACCTAACCAGAAAATAAGCCCTAATGCGTCTTTTGGAGCAAAAAATAATATAAGACCTGTTTTTATCTTCTTATTTTTGGGGAAACATGGGTAGTTCCAAGTCTTTCTGATAGCCTGTATTCCTCATGAAAGCATGAAGGCCCACAATGTATCTGATCTAAAGTGAATAGGAAACATACCTTTCACATGCTAATACTGTGCATGACACATCAGCTGGTTCATCATGGAACTGAAATGTCAAGTGATGATTTTTGTGCTCCTGTCTCTTAACTGAATTTTTAACTGTGCAACTTCAGTTTGCAACTGGAACTCACCAGCTAAAATGTTGGATTTTATTAGATTGCTTATTTTACCTTCTACGTATAATGCCAGATTTCAAGTCCAGCACTCTCTGGAACATAGTCTCCATGTGAAAGGAATGTATTCCTATAGAAGAGTGTGCAACTGTATTGTTGAACGTGTTTTAGAATTGTGCACAAGGCAGAGCATAATTAGAAACAAGAAGTTTAAGATGCACTCATGAAAAGCAGAAACTTCAACACATCAAAATCAAAGATAGCTACACATTCATTTGTTAGTTGCTTAGCAAGAGGAGATGACATCGGATGTGGGCTAACTTAGAGACATGTTATGTCTCTATGAATTTGTTGCCACTCATGATCAGGAAATGCATTTCTCAGGTAGATTCTGAAGCTCTGGAGCTTTTTAGCTCCTCTTTAGCCTACCCTTAGAGGTGAGAAGAAAAGAAGAGAGAACTTTAGATAAGAGAGGAGGGTAATATTTATTTGTAGGTCTTTAGTTATTCGGGTTTTCTCCCGCGTAAAATTGGAAGTGTCTTGGCGACGTTTCGACGAAGTCTCATTCGTCATCTTCAGGCTGGTGTTTTCGGCTTCGTGCTTCTAGGAGCAATGTGAGCATTGTGAGAAAACACCAGCCTGAAGATGACGAATGAGACTTCGTCGAAACATCGCCAAGACTTCCAATTTTATGCGGGAGAAAACCCGAATAACCAAAGACCTATATACAAACACCCACGAAAACCTCAGAAAACTAATATTTATTTATTTATACTTTTGACAGCCAACCCTTTTTCTCCCCATCTCCTCCAGGCTTTTGGGTTCAATCCACAGAAAGACGATTATGTCTCCAAATCTGCTGTTGTCTTCGGGGGATTTTATCTCTTTTTTTTCACTGAGAAGATACTGAAGATGCTCCTCAAACAGAAGGATCAGGTGAGCCTCAATTGTTCCTGACACAATCTTTAATTCCTTTCCTTTTGGAACTTAATTGTATTTTCAATTGATCAATCAGAATAGAGTTAGAAGGGACCTTGTAGAAATAACATCATAACTACGTAGTATGATGGACTGCAGGGCCGGCGCAATGTGTAACATGTTCACACTGGTGCAATAGGACTGGGTGTTTTGTTAATGTGATTTATTATGGTTAGGGATTTTCTGTCTTCACTGTGAGTTGTATTGTGTTGGGGGGAGGGGTTGTTGTGCACTGAGGGAGCTCAACCAATCTCATTGCACATATGTTGTGCACTGACAATAAAGATTTGAATTGAATTGAATTGAACCTTGGAGGTCTTCTAGTCCAACCGGCTGCTCAAGGAGGAGACCCGTACCATTTCAAAAAAGTGATTGTCCAGTCTCTTCTTAAAAATCTCCAGTGATGAAGCACCCACAACTTCGGGAGTCAAGCTGTTCCACTATTTATTAGTCATATTTATCAGTCATATTTCTATGCCGCCCACTCTCCGAGGACTCTGGGCGGCTTACACCAAAGACAGTATACTAAATAGCATATTGCCCCCAACAATCTGGGTCCTCATTTCACCCACCTCGGAAGGATGGAAGGCTGAGTCAACCTTGAGCCGGTGAGATTTGATCCGCTGATCTGCTGAACTTAGCAGTCATTATCTACATTTATTATTTACAAAATTATTTACATTTTTTAATATTGCACTAAATCAGGGGTCCTCAAACTACAGCTCCTGGGATGGATACATGCAATGAATGTTTGTTTCTGCTGCAGAGAGTCTCCCCCTTCGGGGTCTTTTTGTGTGGGTCAAAGTGGGACAGAAATTCCGACTCGGGGTCTGCTTCGGCCTCCTGGTGCGGGGCTTTGGGCGAAGGCTGGAGGGAAGTGCCGCTGGTGGCGAAGAGCCGGAGGGCCTCGTTCCAGTGGGACTGCATCATGGCCTGGAACTGGCTGACCATCTCAACCCGCTGAGCCTCCAGGCGCCGGTACCTGGCCTTGCACTCCCGCAGGTCTTCCCTCTGCTTGGAAAGCCTATGCTCCTAGTCCTCAGTGAGGTGCTTCTGCTGAGCCTCCTTCTTGGCCAGATCCAATTTGAACTGAGCTGTTTTGCCAACTCTTTCTCGTGGTGCCTGCTTAGCTCCAACAACTGCTTCCTGTTGGGGCCCTAAGGAGCCTGGGCGGGGAGGCGAGGAGTGGCTGGCAGGAGAAGGGTGAGCAGAGGCTGGCGAGGAACCCCTCAATGTGAGTGACATTGAGTTGGCCACACCCACCCAGTCACATGACCACCTAGCCACGCCCACCCAGCCGGTCATTAGTGGTCCATGGGATTTAAAATTATGAATTTAGTGGTCCCTGAGATCCAAAAGGTCGGGGACCCCTGAGCTTAGATCCTTCCTGCTTGTTGGAATTCCCCTTTTGAAGTTTCCAGTACTGATTACAGGTACAAAAACAAGGGTAGGACATGTCAGAATTAAGACAGCTGAGCAAACCATGGAGTAGATATTGGAAGGAACAGTCAATAGAGAACGACAAAGGAAAATCATATCTGAGAGAAGAATCGTTCCAACGTACACATAGGGTGAAAGTGCTGAATATGATTGCCTGCATGAACTTTCAGAAAGAAGTATGTGGAAAGTTCAAAGTAATCGGGACACCTAATGATTATGATCTTTTGCAGATTACCAGGCATTACGCATTACGTTGTATAGTCTAGAAATGTTGCAAAACATCTGTGGTATAGAGCAGTTTTGAACTGAGTTATAAAAATATGGCAATAGCTGTGAAGCTAAAAGCCTTATAGTAATGGAAGGATTCGTTTGGACTGCGAGTCCCTTGGACTGCAAGGCGATCCAACCGGTCAGTCCAAGAGGAGATCAACCCTGACTGCTCTTTAGAAGGCCAGATCCTGGAGATGAAACTCAAATACTTTGGCCACCTGATGAGAAGGAAGGACTCCTTGGAGAAGAGCCTAATGCTGGGAACGATGGAGGGCAAAAGAAGAAGGGGACGGCAGAGAACGAGGTGGCTGGATGGAGTCACGGAAGCAGTAGACGTGATCTTAAATGGACTCCAGAGGATGGTTGAGGACAGGAAGGCCTGGAGGAACGTTGTCCATGGGGTCACGATGGGTCAGACACAACTTCACAACTAACAACAACAACAATATATTTTAAGTTATTATGCTGGAGTTGGGGGATTTTAAAACTAGAAATCGCAGATGGGAACTGCAGCCAAGAAATTAAAAGACGCTTTGTCCTGGGGAGGAAAGCCATGGCAAATCTAGACAGCATGCAAAAAAGCAGAGACATCACCCTGCCAACAGAAGTGCGTATAGTCAAGGCGATGGTTTTCCCAGTTGCAATGTCTGGCTGTGAAAGTTGGACCATAAGGAAGGCTGAGCATCAAAGAATGGAGGCCATTGAGCTCTGGTGCTGGAGAAGACTCCTGCGAGTCCCTTGGACTGCAAGGCGATCCAACCGGTCAGTCCTAGAGGAGATCAACCCTGACTGCTCTTTAGAAGGCCAGATCCTGAAGAGGAAACTCAAATCCTTTGGCCACCTAATGAGAAGGAAGGACTCCCTGGAGAAGAGCCTAATGCTGGGAACGATGGAGGGCAAAAGAAGAAGGGGACGGCAGAGAACGAGGTGGCTGGATGGAGTCACGGAAGCAGTAGACGTGATCTTAAATGGACTCCAGAGGATGGTTGAGGACAGGAAGGCCTGGAGGAACATTGTCCATGGGGTTGCGATGGGTCAGACATGACTTCGCAACAAACAACAACAAAAATGGAAAGATTATAATAATGAGTAATACTGTATATGGTGTCCCGTAGTGAATAGCAAGCCACTCTTATCTGGATGAAACTTGTCTCATAGACCTTGTAATGAACGATATGGCATGAAGATATTTTATCATCTTGCTGGAAGGCAAGAGCTTAGCGAGAAGAAGTCTTTGGACCTCGTGGTGATTTTGGATGCCATCAGCTGTGGTATTATCTTGGACAACACCCTGGCTAATATCTAAGCATACGAATCTTCTGAGAGGTCTTCACTAAGATCTACATTGGCTAGTTAAAAACCTTCAGTAATTCTTAGGGGCCATAATGAGCTAGCTCAGGGGTCTCCAACCTTGGCAACTTTAAAACCTGTGGAGTCCCAATTCCCAGAATTCTTCAGCCAGCTTTGCTAGGTTGGAGACCTCTGAGCTAGGTGGACATGAACTGGGGTTCAATGGAAATTAGAAGGCAGTGTCCATTGGAGAATGCTAATCTCAAGATTTGTGGCCCACCATGGTTTGGAAAGGAAACTACCCACTCCAAGAGATTAAAACCATAGTTTAGGAGCACACCTGGTGTTGTGGCTCCGTTACCTGAGCCTGTGTCATCGGCAGGAGAGGACTCCGAGAGTGAAGGAGAGGAGTTGGCAAGGCCTCCCTCTCCAGGACCCTCCTCTCTGGCAATGCCTTCGGTGTCTGCCGAAGGGCAAGAGATAGGGCCAGGGCCAAGCACGTCCACGTCACGTGGACAATGATGAGGGTAATGAGTCTTGGCTGGATCCCCGGCAGCGTCGCAGAGATAAGCATGTGCAACAGAAGAAAAGGCGTTCCAGAGATTAGGCTGAGTCACTGGACCACACCCCACAGGGTATAAAAGGGGGTGAGGTGGCCATTCAGACTCTGTGACGGACAAAACTAACTACTATCGAGTCACATTGCATCTTTGGAAACAACATTATCGGCCTTGGATTTATTTTACGAACTGGACAATTCTTGACTGTGGGTATTTTGTTTATTGAGTAAAAGTTCTTGGCAAGCAGCTACTGGGTTGCTGCCAAGCATCTTATCGGAAGAATTGGTTGTCTGCCAGTTTATTTAACCCCCGGCTGTCTGTTTGTATATGTGAGACGGGGACAGAACACCTGGACTGCTACTATCATGGAATCTCATGCGTCGTTGTTTGCAAGTTGTGGCAATTCCTGTCACTCCAACCTGGCCAAAGTCTCTCTTGGTTGCATCATGTCTCCTTTACTGCGATGTCCTCCCTGTAGCTCTACCCTGGAAGAACTTTTGGAAGCATTCGTTGGAATCTGGCAGCTAATTTGTCATGATATGAACACGGTGTCACAATCACGTCACCGTAGTATTAAAAGATCAGCACACGTTTTCAAAGGTTTGGTCAATGTTAAGAACCCTAAATACAGTAGTGGCCAAAATTGTGGAATCCTTTGGGGAAAAGTGTATTTTTGAGGTTTGATGGCTAATAACACCACTTTTTTTCCCTGGAGTTTCAAGATAATCATATTCTACTGCTGCAATGGCCTGGGAATAGCCCAGATCTTCACCCAAATGAAAATCTATGGAGCCGACTAAAGAAACTTGTTAGTCAGAAGCGACCCAGCAATAAAACCCAGTTAATAGAAGCCATCATTCAATCTTGGTTTCACATTATAACAGCTGCAGAACTAAAAGACTTGGTTCACTCCATGGGAAGATGTTGTAAGGCCGTAATTCATGCTATAAAGGTTGCCCAACTAAGTATTAATTGACATGGGGATAATTTTTGTATATCTCCTTTTTTCTATGGTGATAATTTTTGTATATCTCATTTTTTCTATGTTTCACTTTTCTTCTTTATACTGTAACTGCTTTTCTAATAGCAAATCCTTCATAAAAGTTATTGCATTTTTTTTTTTAAATTTGATCTATATGCCGCCCTTCTCCGGAGACTCGGGGCGGCTTACAATGTGCTCAGCAATAGCCTTCATCCTTTTGTATATTTATACAAAGTCAGCTTATTGCCCCCACAACTGGGTCCTCAATTTACCTACCTTAGAAAGGATGGAAGGCTGAGTCAACCTTGAGCCTTGGCGAGATTCGAACCTGCAGTAATTGCAGGCAGCTGGTCTTAATAACCAGCTTAATAACAGGGTGCCTTAGACCACTGTACTACCAAGGCATTACATTCTTGATTAAATTATCTTTCCATTGATATATAATTTTATGGGACTAATCCCCCCCCCAAAAAAGTGGTGTTATTAGCTAGTTTTAGAAAAATACACTTTCCTCAAAAGGTTTCCACGATTTTGGCCACTATTGTAGCTTAGAATCCAGTTGTCTGAGGGATAACTTTAAGTTTGCAAGTGAGTCTTCCTATTTAGCAGGTCCTCTTGTGAGAAAAGATTTTCCCCATGTCTCAGAAATGTGTTGTCACTGAAGACGCAATTGCCCCACCTTCTGGTTGCCGAAATTCTTCTAGACGCATTGTTTAAACATAGATTTTCCAAGTGTTTGTTCGATCCTTCAAACCGCCTTCAATAGATGTTACATCCGTTCATCTATTTAATGATTATTGAAATAGTCATTAGGTTTACATCAGGGGTGGGTTCTAAATTTTTTTTACTACCGGTTCTGTGGGCGTGGCTTATTTTGTGGGTGTGGCTTGGAGGTCATGTGACTAGGTGGGCGCGGCTAGCTGGTCAGAGTCATTTCTGGAAGGTCCTGGCACTTAGGACCAGTCCTCGCACTTACGACCTGACTCATTTGTTTGCTTTTAACACTGATCAGCTGTAGGGCGGCCCTTTGAAAGTTTAAACAGTTTTTTTCCCTCTAGTCATCAGCTGGGACTCAGGAGGCAGCAATAGATTGGGGGTGGGACCAAATAAAAGGTAAGAATAACGTGGGGGGGGGAAAGAACCAGTTCGATGACATCATATCATCACCGCTACCGGTTCGGTCGAACCGGGAGAAACCCACCACTGGTTTACATAGAAAGGCAGGACAAAAGTATAAGAAATAAAACCTAGATCTATAGGTGGTTGGTTGCATTGTTTATGTGCCTTCTTTGGTGAAGTGTTGTCTCTGCATTCCCCAGCACCTTCATGGACACAGCCATTACAGCAGCGAGTCCCTTCCTTCCAAGAAGGACCAGGAAGAAGGTGTGACTGAAAAACTGCAGAACGGAGACCTGGATCACATAATCCCGAATAAGAATGGCGATTTGGAATGCAAGAATCCCTCGGCTGATCAGAAGGTTGTTAGCACCTTGTCTGTTCAGGTCAGTGAATAATTACACTAGGATTGCCTAACCTTTGGTACCAGTGAGCCCTTCTCTTCCCCCTCCCTCCCTCGCTCTCTCTCTTCCTCTCTCTCTTTCTCTTGTTCTCTCTCTCCCTCTCCCTTCCCCTCCTCCCCCTCTCTCCCCCTCCCTTCCTCTCTTTCTTTCTCTCCCTCCCTCTCCCTCTCTCTTTCTTACTCTCTCCCTCCCTCCCTTTTTCTTTCTTGTTCTCTCTCTCTCTCTCTCCCTCGCTCCGTCCCTCCCCTTCTCTCTCTTTCTTTCTTTCTCTCTCCCTACCTCTCTCTCTCTTTCTGTTTCTTACTCTCTCCCTCCCTGTCTTTCTCCCTCACTCCCCGTCTCTGAGGCATTGCCAGAGAGGAGGGTCCTGGAGAGGGAGGCCTTGCCAAATCCTCTCCTTCACCTTCTGAGTCCTCTCCCTCTGTTAGGACAGGCTCGGGGGTCGGAGTCACAACAAGGTAAGACGGCAAGAGGAGCCCCGTCTTGCTCCACACGCCCCAAAATAATAAGACCTCCCCGAAAATAAGACCAAGCACTTATTTTGGAGTACAAAAAATATAAGACAGGGTCTTATTTTCGGGGAAACATGGTAATGTAATTAGGTGACCACAGGTTATGATGCAGGCTCCATATAGAGTCTCATGCCGTTACCTGCTGATGTTACCTCCTTTGGTAATGAAATGTATACAAGAAAATCACTAAGGTCAGAGACCCCACAGTTCAATCCTCAGCTGCAAATGCTATCTCCCATAGGCTCCCTATAGGATTGTCGGTTCACCTGTCATGAGATGATAAGGGATTTTCTTAATATCATACTTCTTTTGTTCCAGGACCTCCAAGCATCTCAAAGCATGTGCTATTGGTTGAAAGGAGTGCGTTATTCAGACATTGGCACTCTGGCTTGGATGATAACGTTGAGTGACGGCCTTCACAATTTCATTGATGGGCTGGCAATTGGCGCCTCCTTCACCGTCTCGGTCTTCCAGGGCATCAGCACCTCGGTGGCCATTCTCTGTGAAGAATTCCCGCACGAGCTAGGTATGTGCGCTCTTTTCATTTCTGCTTCACAGCTGGAAAAAATGCATAGGAATTCCTTTTAAGGATGCGCTTAGTGGAATTCTTATTAAGGAGCAATTCAAAGTAGGAACATCTGCCTTGCAAAGAAAGGTCCAATGGATTTGAGTCAGGGGTGAGTTCTATTTACCTTTACTACCGGTTCGCAACGGGATCATGCAAATGGTCTATGACGACATCTGGGTGGGTGGGCGGAGCCCGCCCCCGGTTTTACTACCGGTAAGCAAGAACCGGACCGAACCAGGGGCAACCCACCACTGATTTGAGGGTTGTTAGTTTAGATAAAAAAACGCAAACAACAGAACACAGGGCAGAGATTTCTAAAATTTCTACACATTGTAGAAAAGATAGAAGAAATTTTCTCATCGTACTGTCGATGAGTTCTTCAGTGATGCCCTGTTTCCCCTAAAATAAGACATTCCCACCACGGCCTGGTGGCTCAGCAGACTAAAAGCATTGTGATTAACACCAGCTGCCTGCAATTACTGTAAGTTCGAATCGCCCCAGGCTCAAGGTTGACTCAGCCTTCCATCCTTTCTAAGGTAGGTAAATTGAGGACCCAGTTGTGGGGGCAATAAGCTGACTTTGTATAAAAATACAAAAGTATGAAGGCTATTGCTTAACGCATTGTAAGCTGCCCTGAGTCTCCGGAGAAGGGCGGCATATGCATCAAATAAAAAAAAAAAAAAATCCCTGATAATAAGCCCAATTGGGCTTTTGAGCGCATGCGCTGAAATAAGCCCCACCCTGAAAATAAGCCCTCCCCGAAAATATTTAAACGCATGTGCAGCCAGTCCCCGCCATTTCCTCTGGTTAGGTTAGGGAGACAGAGCTGGAAATCAGGTAAGACGGCAAGAGGAGCCCCGTCTTGCTCCATGCGCCCCAAAATAATAAGACATCCCCAAAAATAAGGCCAAGGACTTATTTCGGGGTTCAAAAAAATATAAGACAGGGTCTTATTTTTGGGGAAACACGGTATGCATTCATAGGTATTAACATATTGTCAAACTACTGTGTTTCCCCGAAAATAAGACCTATCCCAAAATAAGCCCTAGCTTGATTTTACATGTGCGCCCAATATAAGCCCTCCCCTCCCCCAAATAAGCCTAAATTAATACCCCGCCCCACTCCATTGCACCTGGTTGCACGAGGTGGGGTGAGGCGCACGGGTAAAAAGCTAGGGTGGAGATGGGGGTTGGAGCTGCCCCACGTGCCCCCGCTTACTTTAGGACAGTTGCAGCCAGGTCTCCCCCACCCCGACACCTGGCTTGCATTGCCGGTTCACTTCTGCAGCCGCTTACAACCGCTTGTATGTGGCACACCCAGCCTTCATTTTGCTGTCATTTGTGGCATTTGTGCCCGGGGGGGGGCACCGCATGTGAGGAACGGCAAGTGGCCGCAGAAGAAGTGTGCCAGCAGTGGCCACACGGGCTTCTGCTTGGCGGGGTTGTTGGTGCTGCCACCATGAGGTGGGAGTGAAAAAGACATCCCCCGAAAACAAGGCCTAATGCAGAGGTGAAATGCTCCCGGTTCGGACCGGATCGCCCGATCCGGTAGCGATGGAGGCGGGTGGTTCGGAGAACCGGTAGCAAAAATCCCTTCCCCCCCCCCCCCCGCCATGCCCAGCTGAGCCACACAATCATCAGAGGCTTTTTTTTTTTACTTTTAAAAGCATTTTTTTTACAACCTCTTCGGCCGAAAAAAATGCTTTTAAAAGTTAAAAAAAAAAAGCCTCTGATGATCGCACGTCCCAGCTGGGATCGTCAAAGGCTTTTAAAAGAAAAAAACCCCCTTTTTTTCTTTTAAATACCTCTGACGATCCCTGCTGAGTTGCCTGATCGGCAGATCATCAGAGGCATTTAAAAGAAAAAAACCCTTTTTTTCTTTTAAATGCCTCTGACGATCCCAGCTGAGTTGCTTGATCAGCAGAGGCTTTTTAAAAAAGCCTCTGCAGATCAGGCAACTCAGCTGGGATCGTCAGAGCCTTTTGAAAGCATTTTTTTTACAACCTCTTCGCCGAAGAGGTTGTAGAAAAAATGGTTTTAAAAGTTTTTTTAAAAAATGGCCACGCCCACCCAGTCACATTACCCCCCCCCCCCACCAAGTCACGCCCACAGAACCGGTAGTAACAAATTTTAGATTTCACCACTGGCCTAATGCCTCTTTTGGAGGAAAAATAATTAATAAGACTGGGTCTTATTTTCGGGGAAACACGGTAGATGTCTTTGTATAAATATCAGTTTTGAGGATTCAGGGCCATAGAAGATACCAATGCTGTGCAGGGATGGTTTCGTTATTTAGTTTATGAGGCCTTTCAGGATTAGCAGGTTCATTAGAGATCATGTATCAGTAGCCACTAAACCATAATGGCTGTTTGAATACTGACTCCAAACTCCAAGGCTACGCTGAGACAAGCTCACTGAATATACAAACATTTTGCAAAACATGTTTTTGTAAATGAGTGGTTGGAATTGCACAAGATCCTAAAACTAGCAGACCACATGATAGCTTTCTCTACAGGTAGTCCTCGACTTACGATCACAATTGAGTCCGAAACTTCTGTTGCTAAGCGAGACATTTGTTAAGTGAATTTTTATCCCATTTTTTGACCTTCCTTGCCACGGTTGAATTTTGACTATGTGGCTGTGGGGATGCTATAACGGTTATAAGCGTGAAATCAGTCATAAGTGCTATTGTAATTTCGACCGGTCACTAAATGAACCGTCATAAGTTGAGGACTACCTGCAGTTGTATCATGGGATGGTGGTGGATGTTGAGGATTTATATAATAGATTAGGTTAGATTAGAATTCTTTATTGGCCAAGCGTGATTGGACACAGAAGGAATTTGTCTTTGGTGCATAGGCTCTCAGTGTACATAAAAAGACAAGATATATTTGTCAAGAATCAATAGAATAGAATAGAATAGAATAGAATAGAATAGAATAGAATAGAATAGAATAGAATAGAATAGAATAGAATTCTTTATTGGCCAAATGTGATTGGACACACAAGGAATTTGTCTTTGGTGCATAGGCTCTCAGTGTACATAAAAGAAAAGATAAGTTCATCAAGAATCATAAGGTACAACACATAATGATAGTCATAGGGTACAAATAAGCAATCAGGAAACAATATCAATATAAATCGTAAGGATACAAGCAATAAAGTTACAGTCATGCAGTCATAAGTGAGAGGAGATGGGTGATAGGAACGATGAGAAGATTAATAGTAGTGAAGACTTAGTGAATAGTTTGACAGTGTTGAGGGAATTATTGGTTTAGCAGAGTGATGGCATTCAGGAAAAATCTGTCCTTGTGTCTAGTTATTCTGGTGTGCAGTGCTCTATAGCAGTGGTCCCCAACCTTTTTATCGCCGCGGACCAATCAGCCTTTGATAATTTTACCGTGGCCCGCTGAGCACGCGCAGGGGTGGGGGCTTTGGGCCACACGTGCGTACCTGCGCGGGGCTCTCTTCCCTGGAGCCTTTGCGCACGGCCCAGGAGCTTTTGCGCACGGCCCAGGAGCTTTTGCGCACGGCCCAGGAGCCTTTGCGCTGCAGCGTTCATGTCCCCCGGCCGCTGCGCGGCCCGGTGCCAGGTACTCCACGGCCCGGCACCGGTCCGCGGACCGGGGGTTGGGGACCACTGCTCTATAGCATCATTTTGAGGGGTAGGAGTTGAAACAGTTTATGTCGAGGATGCAAAAATATGTAACACAGGTCATCATCAAAACATTATTGCTTAGACAAAGATATTGATTATTTTGTCACAGCAGAAGAAATATATCCGCAGCAGAAACCTATATTGATAATATGGGAGACGTTGATTTGAAAAATGCAAAATGCTTCTGGATGAATGTATTGGGCAGCAGCCCTTCAAAGCTTTGATCCTGTGGATTTCAAATGCAACTCCTTCCTTCTAAACCTCTTTGGAATTGTGGTTCATCTTTGCAGGAGACTTCGTCATTCTGCTGAATTCTGGGATGACAATCCAGCAAGCCCTTTTCTTCAACTTCCTCTCAGCTTGCTGTTGCTACCTGGGCCTGGGCTTTGGGATATTGGCCGGCAGCCACTTCTCAGCCAACTGGATCTTCGCTCTAGCAGGCGGGATGTTTCTCTACATTGCGTTGGCCGACATGGTAAGTGGTAGGCAGGTAAAGGAAACCATTGGGCTCCATTGGGTTTCCTTCCAATAGGTTGGGTGCACGCAACTCCTACAGTAGTGGCCAAAATTGTGGAAACCTTTTGGGAAAAGTGTATGGAATGGAATTAGAATTAGAATTGGAATTAGAATTAGAATTAGAATTAGAATTAGAATTAGCATTAGCATTAGCATTAGCATTAGCATTAGCATTACCATTAGCATTAGCATTAGCATTAGAATTAGAATTATTAGAATTATTAGAATTAGAATTAGAATTAGAATTAGAATTAGAATTAGAATTAGCTCCGAACTACTCAAAATTTCCGCTACCGGTTCTCCAGAACCTGTCAAAACCTGCTGGATTTCACCCCTGCTTTTTACACCCCAAACATAATCCCTCTTTTTTGCCCTTTTTTTCTTAGGGCAAAATCACTAGTGTGAGACTTTTGCAGGGAGTGCCATAGATAACATTTTGGCATCAGCAGTCCCAGTTCAACAAAATTGGGCTATATTAAATCTCATTCTTCAGTCATAACGGCAAATTAAGTCCTTCAGGTTGTTTCCAGTCTGTTCATACATCATGCAAAGCAACGTGGAAGGGTTGGTGAATGAGCTATTCTTTGTTTTAAGGTTAATAAGCAACACTTTGAAATCATAGTTAGAGTTTGGCTCACCGATTGCAACTGTAAATCGGCATAATCTGTAAAGAAAGGAACACGATTTGTATTTGCTGGTTTGTTGCTATGCCCTGCACATTAGTGCAGTGTACTGCACTGTAATGCTCTCTACATGGGGCTCCCCTTGAGGAGCATCCGGAGGCTCCAGCTGGTCCAGAATGCGGCCGCGCGGGTGGTTATGGGGGGCGACTCGGCGCTCCCATGTAACACCTCTCCTGCGCGAGCTGCACTGGCTCCCGGTGGTCTTCCGGGTGCGCTTCAAGGTATTGGTTACCACCTTTAGAGCGCTCCATGGCTTAGGACCCGGGTATTTACGAGACCGCATTCTGCCACCGATAGCCTCCCACCGACCAGCACGCTCCCACAGAGAGGGGCTCCTCAGGGTGCTGTCAGCCAAACAATGTTGACTGGCGGCCCACAGGGGGAGAGCCTTCTCTGTGGGGGCACCTACCCTCTGGAATGAGCTGCCCCCGGAGATACGGCGGATCCCCGCACCTTCCGCCGTTCCCTAAAGACATTTTTATTCCAGCAAGCCGGGCTGGCCTAATTCTTTTAAATTGTTTTAATTCTTAAATTGTTAATTATCGGTCTTAATACAGGGGTGTTTTTAATTGTGGGCCAAATTAATTTAATTGGATTTTAATACTGTTTTTAAATTTTGTATTTCTTGTGTTTTATCTGTTGGCTGTTCACCGCCCCGAGTCCTTCGGGAGAAGGGTGGTATATAAATATAAACAACAACAATAATAATAATTAGTCTCTAATAATTCTACAAAGATGCAAACACAGCTGAAAAAAGGAAGCCAAACAAACCAAGAATTGGCTAAAAAGCTACTGTTTTTGTAAAAACTTTTCTTCTATAACATATCTAACAAACCATAACAGTTAAGCTGTGTCGGTCACGTGGACCAGAGGTTAAGTCTTCCAAACTTTCAGACTCGTGCTGGAGCCCATCTTCAGAGAACTTCTCTTTACCAGAATGTAGAGAGAAGTATAAGGGGCGCGGTGGCTCAGTGGCTAAGATGCTGACTTGTCGTTCGAAAGGTCGGCAGTTCAGCGGTTCGAATCCCTAGTGCCGCGTAACAGGGTGAGTTCCCATGACTTGTCCCAGCTTCTGCCAACCTAGCAGTTCGAAAGCAGGTAAAAAATGCAAGTGGAAAAATAGGGACCACCTTTGGTGGGAAGGTAACAGCGTTCCGTGCGCCTTTGGCGTTGAGTATGCCGGCCACATGACCACGGAGACATCTTCCGACAGCGCTGGCTCTTCGGCTTTGAAACAGAGATGAGCACCGCCCCCTAGAGTCAGGAACGACTAGCACATATGTGCAAGGGGAACCTTTACCTTTAGAGAGAAGTATAGAGAGAGAACTTCTCCTAGAGAGAAGTTCTTTGGGTTCTAGCAGGAGTCTGAAAGTTCGGAAGAATAAACCTTTGACCCAGATTGGATCCTGCAACATTATCTCGGGACACGTCTATTTGCTTTCATTCGTGAGAAGCTAAGCCTTTGCCTTAACAACATCTGTGCTTTATAAAATGGCTTATTTATTCTTCATCGTGCCGGTTTGGAATGAATGCTGTTTGATTTACAAACTTGCAAAAAAAAAAAGAAAAAAGTTTTGCATTTGCTGGAGGACGAAAAAAGGGGGGGGGGGGGGGGGAGGGAAAGGAAAGCCTCTCTAATTGATTTTCTTGATCTATAAGTTCCCAGAGATGAATGAAGTCAGCAAAGAAGACGAAAGGAGCGGAAGTGCTTTGATTGCATTTGCGATTCAGAACGCCGGACTGCTGACGGGATTCGCTATCATGGTGCTGCTGACGATGTTCTCGGGAGAAATCCAGCTCGGATAAGTGGCCGCGCTGTGTTGGAAAATTGTAGGTCTGTGGACTCTGCGAAGCGCAGTTTCTTTTTCTTTTTCTTTTGTCAAGGATTTCAGGAAGGGGCATGTTTATTCAACCTGCTTCTTAGATTTCTTATTGGACTGACAACCTGCACAGGCTGACAACTTTTCTCTCTAGCATTAAATGACTGGGGGAATCATTTCTTAAGGCAACAACAGCATTAGTCTCTCCCCCTCCTACCCTTTATTTTCGTTTTTCTTTTTTTTCACATTTGGATGGAATCGGTTAAGAAAAGGCTTCTAATTTCCTGATGTTGCGTTATTCTTGTTTCCTTCCTGGGCACGAGTAGCTTGGTGCATATCTCTCTAAGCTACAAAAATACCAGCAATTGGCTAGCAGGATGCCTTTTTCCTGCTCAGAGAACCTCTGAGTTCTCTTCTACGATTCTAAATCACATTTCTGTGTGAGGAAGGAAAAAGTGCTTTTTGTGGCATTTGCACCATCTAAACACGAAAGAACATGTTATATTGAAAACTCACAACCAGTGGATGCAGAGGGCTCTAGTTTTATGTTGGAATGTATGCGGGGACAATTTGACTTGAAATTCCTGTATTCAAATGGCATCGTTATAAAGTATTTAGGACTCCAAGAAAAAGCAGAAAAAAGACCATCTTGGAAGATACGTTTTGAAGTCCTTTTAGTGCCCTCTTCCCCTCTTGTTTTCAAAAGTGATTTCTCTTTCAGCCCTTCCTTTAACATCTCCTTTTTCTTTAAATTTCCTTCAAAAGATTCGCACGCAGGCTGGCCCGCACAGCTGCTACTTTGCAAGTTGATTTTGTGTAGGATAAATCTGGCCGGTGTGGAATCTATTTATATCCGGAAAGAAATGATGCATGAATTGCATCCTCTGGCTGGTGTGAAGGTCTTGGGATTGTTTTATGGAAATGAAGCCTAGATTTTGGAGAATTTGCTGGAGAGATTTATTGCAGGATTAAATTTCCCAGAGTCACTAAGTGAACTGATGCATTATCATATTGATAAGATCAAGCCTGTCAGCTTAAGCGTGTAGCGCATTATTCACATCACACATCCCCTCTTTAAACATTTAAAACCGTTATAACGCTTGTTATCAGCAAAAGGAAACTCGGTTCTTTCAACTCCCAGAATTCCCCAGCCAGCCCAATGGCTTGGAGCTGAAGTCCACAAGTCTTAAAAAGTTGCCAAGGTTGGATGGCCTTGCCCTAGTTGGTGAACCTTTTCTGCTGTGGTGCACACTTTGTGGCATTTTGTCCATCCTGGCCATGAGGTTGGCTCCATATTTCTGAGCTTCCAATGTTCCCTCAAGACCTGGTTGTCAAGAAGCCTGGGATGCCCAAAAGACCTCACTTCTTCTAGTGAGAAGCCTCCATCAATATCCTTTCACCTACTACTTCTTTTCTTAGCTTTGTTGTTAGATTTTTTTTTTAATGTTGATCATTGTTTTAGGTATTTAGTTTTGTTGTCCGTCTCCCGGGGCCACCTGTTTCGTGACATGAGCAGCTAGATCAATTTAATAAATAAATAACAGTCCGTGTAGAAAAAGCTTTTAAACATCTTAACCGGGACCGAATTAGCCAGAGCTGGAGATCCCTCATTTCGCTCGTCGAATGGTGTTACTTTAGCTAGTTTCGTCCTCTGCATGTTACTAATATATCAATATGATTCTTCTTTGCTCCTAAAAAGGCCAAAAACTGAATATTCTAGTCTTGTAGAGTGAGATTTTGCTTTTCACTTGAAAGTAGATTGATGTAATACGATGTGGTTCTTGCAGCATCACTTCCTAACTTCTGCGTAGGAATTAGCTGCTTTGAATATATCAATCTTCCCAGAATTATAAGGAGAAAGCGAATCTTTGGCCAAGGGGAACGTTGCTGCAGCTGCTCTAAATTCTGACATAGCCAGATCAATGTCTACACGTCAAAATTATTTGAAGATAAAACCCAGTATTTAAATAGGGGAGATAACCTGTTGTCTTTTCCATTACCTTCACTAGAGGTATACAAATTCCTGTTCTAAGTAGTATCTAGCTCAGAGGTGTCAAACTCGAGTTCATTGAGAGCTGCATCAGGGTTGTGATTGACATTGGGGGGCCGGGATGGGGGTGGCCAGCTCGACATCACTCATGTCGGTGGTGCCTGTGGCGGCCTGAGCACTCCGCCAGTAAAAACGGGCTTCCGAGCTCCGTTTCATCTGCAACGGCCTCCTGCAACCCTCTGCCAGCTTGGCAGCTGCCTGCACCCATCCTGAGCTCCGTTTTTGGCTGCAATGGCCTCCTACAACCCTCTGCCAGCCAAAACTGAGCTTGAGAGGGCCGCACGCAGCTCTCCCGAGCTCTGTTTTCGCTGGCAGAGGCACTGTGGGCCGGTCCTTCGCTGGATCCGGCCCCCGGGCCTTGAGTTTTGACACCCCTGATCTCGCTATTTAATACAATTACTTAAATATTTTATGAGAGTTTCCTTTTGGTGTGGAGCTAAGCTTACTCAGAGACAAAGGAGCATCAGTTTAGTTTGACAGTTGAAATGGTTATCTGAAACGGTGCCTGGCAGCCTGGATGTGCAGTTACTGAATTCACTACAAAGCTTGTAGACTTCATATTTATGAAAGGCTCTGAGGAGGCTGGGGACTACATTGCGTGCAATTGCAATATGGACATTTGTAAGAATGCGCAAAGAAGGTGCCATTTCTCTGGTTTGTGCCAGAAATGCTTATCCAGTGAGAGGGGAAAAGCAAAACTGACCAATTGTGAGCCAATATTGATTTGAATTTTAATGTACGACCCTTAGAAAAATCGGGGCTTTTCCCCTATCTCAGTATTTAAATAACTCAGGTGTTGTAAGAAAACTTGTCAAAACAAAGAATATAAATTATGTCATGTGACTTGTTGTTTATAAAAAAATAAACTTCTATAATGACAACCGAATTGTATTTTTTTTTTACTCCCAGCATGAACCTTTGAAGGAAATGTCCTTCAAGTTTGACCCCTTTAAAAAAAGGTTTATTATTAATAAAAAAAAATTAGATTGTGCAGAAGCGAATAGATTGACTTTGATGATTAAAGAAAGAGAAGATTCAGAATACTTTTAAGATATGGAATCAATTCTACTATTGGTTAGAAAAGAGATATAAATAAGTAAATTAATAGTTATGTATAAAAATGCTATAATTAGAATATTTTGTTAGTGATGAATTGTAATTGATTCGATGAGAACGAACACAGAAGAAATAACAAAAAGAAGAACGATTAGAGACAACACCGAGATGTCACATGGAAGGAATGACTGATGTATTCAATGTTCGTTTAAAAAATAAAAAACTTTTTTTAAAAAAGGTTTATTGGAAAGCTAAAACGTGCTGCAGTAATAATCTATTTTGAGAGAGCAAAGCAGGGATTGTATTTTTTGATTTGCTTTTAGTCTACGAGGTGTTATGAAGGTTAGACATGTAATTAAAAATACAACTATTTAGGAAAAAGAGCAAAAGCCAACAGAGGAAATGCATTTTAATAAGTAGCTTTAAACTTAGTGCTGTGTCATGCAAATGTTAGGACCTGCTTCCAAGTCTCCCACCTATTAGATGTGGAACGCACGGACCAGAATCTCAAATGGTGGCCTTGTTTAATCGGTGGCTTGATGCCATAGAAATAATATAATTATGCATGCAGTTTTTTGCATCTCCAGGGTTTGCTTGCTTTTTTTTTTTTTGTAAAATATTGCTAGGTGACAGATAATGTGGGAAGAGAACTGGAAAGTCACTTTAATACACAAACATGGAGCTAGGAGGACAAGAGCATCCTGGAACCATTAGCTCTTTGAACTCGGGCATTGACCAAGGACAAGCAACCCTGGTATAAATGGTTGAACAATATGGGGGGGGGGGTGTTTAATTATCTATTTCTTAGCCCAACATTGACTTTTCAACTTTAGATGTAGTTTTACTTTTAAAACAGAAGATGGCAGCCATGTGTATTATTTAAAACTTGTGGATTTTTTTTTAAAAGACATCAGTTGCCATTTGTACCCCTGTAAAAAAAAAAAAAAGAATCGAACTGATTAAAATATTGCCCACTGAACGCCAACTTGCTCCAAGTGATTTTTTTTAAATTTTCTCTCAGTAAACTTCATGTCCTTTAAAATTATACAAAAGTAATGTATTACTTTTATACTTTTAATATATTACTTTTTACTTTGAAGGCTTACAAAAGAACGTGCAAAATTTTTCAGGAAGTCTTCATCAGGAAAGATGGAGAAAAATCCAGTAGAGAAGTATGTTTTATGTTTTATGCAACTTGATACAGGGTTTTTTTTAACCTTTTGCTCCTTTATGCCTTCCAACTGCTAGATAAAACTTTTTTAAAAAAAAAAAAAAGCTGTTAACAAAATATTTATTTATTTATTCTTTATTTATATAAAAAGACTCTCTACTTTCTGTTTCCCACTTTCAAGTATTGTGAGCTTTGCCTTGAGGATGATATGCTTGAACGTATTTTATTTTTGCCAACGTGGAATTAAACCTTCCAAACCTGAGATCTTTTTGATTCCTGACACTTTTCATCTGAACCAGTGGTGGGTTTCAAAATTTTTTACTACCAGTTCTGTGGGTGTGGCTTGGGTGGGTGTGGCATGGGTTGGTGGACGTGGCAGGGGAAGGATACTGTAAAATCTCCATTCCCACCCCTCTCCAGGGGGAGGCTACTGCAAAATTCCCATTACCTCCCAATCAGCTGGGACTTGGGAGGCAGAGAATAGATGGGGGCGGGGCCAGTCAGAATTTTTACTACCGGTTCTCCAAACTACTCCAAACTTCTGCTACCGGTTCTCCAGAACTGGCCAGAACCTGCTGAAACCCACCTCTGTTCTGAACAAAAACAAACGTCGTGACTTCAACATTAAGAGCTGTCAGTATATAAGAATTTATAAACTGGAATAGGCATAACAACAAGTCAGCCAATAGGAACTGTTTGGTGACCGAGAGCCATGTCAAACAGCTCAGAGCCTGAGCGTGGCTTAGTCTGTGTATATAACCTTGCTTCTAGTTGTGATCTGGTTGTTCTGGTTCTAGCTTCTGCTGCATGGGTATTGTATACATGCATCATGCTTTATATTATTGTATATAAAGAAGTTTCTTCTATAAATGAATCCTGCTGAATTATTCACTTGTGTGCTGGTTAGATTGCCCCAAACTCTAACAAGAGCATCCTCCTTTTCTGTTCAATGAGTCCTGGAAAAACTAAAAAAGTCACTTTTGAGTCAAGCTTCACTCTTCCAACAGAAGAGGCTTGCCCTGGTTGTTGGGCAACAATACTGAAGTGATTAGTCACTGCTTTCTTCCATTTTTTCCCTAACTTCCTATCTAGATTACAGTCCTAGGATTCCTAAGTATTTTCACATTCAAATACTAACCCAGATAATACCTGTTTAGCTTGTTGATATGATCCAAGTTTAGCTAAGTGTTGCTGCTTGCTAAAATGAGGATGTTAAGCTTGCACTTACCAGAATGTCTTCAAATATTTTACGTACAGGAGAATTATTAATCAATTCATCATGTTAAAGTGCATGGCTTAAATATATCAAAAACATTTTGCTGGATTTTTCCTCCCTATGCTATACCTGGTTACCGTCTCTGACCACATTCTCCTGATGAGTATAATGAGAGAATTTACTTTGTTACAAGTAAGAATAATCTGTGAACAAAACAATGATGTGCCAGTTTTACAAGTCTCAGGTTTGTGTTGCCAATTCAACTGCAAATTGGCAATTTTCAACTATCTAATTCCCCATTGCTTTTTAATTTTTTAATTCCACCCTTAATATTTTTATATATAACTTGAGTTAGTGAATGTATCTAAACACTCCTTCCTTCTCTTTTCAATGATAAATTAGGCTATTTTGTGTAATCACCCCCACTTTCTGAATCTAAAGATTGATCAGAAAATGTTTGCTTATGCTCCTAATGTAATGCAACATCGCCTGCATCTCCTGGAACTCTGAACCCCCACTTAAAAAGTGCAGCCCCCAGCTGTAAAAGGATAACTCACTCATATCCTAAGCAATGGATTATATATGAGTAATGGGAATAAGCTGCTGGTTTGCTGGTTTTATACAATATAGTAATCCACAAACTAGTTAATAAATAATAATGGCTGCCTTTTTACAATATACATAAGTGTACACCTATGCTATGTTTTAGCATGATATATAGAGAACCGGTCTCTATATTTTCTGGGTTTGAGACTTTTAAAGCAGCACTTCCATATATATATGGAAGTATATAGGTATTTAGATATGTATATGTGTGTGTATAGGTATATAAGTGTGTGTGTGTGTGTAGGTTTAAAATAAACCTTGCTTCCTACAGCATATGACATGAGAATCAACTTGACAGGTTCTTAATACAATGCATTAAACATGACTACTATAGATTTTCCCCCAAACATTTTGCTTCTTGTAAAATAAAAGTAGATTGCTTTCCTTAAATTTAAATGTGAATTCCCCCCCCTTCTTTGACAAAGGGGAAAAAAAATCTGATTTGAAGCAGATGTGTGTAGTTTCTGCATTTAACTTTTCTTACATTTATCAAGCCAATAGTCTTCCAAACTGATTGGCACAGCAGAGTCTAAAAAGATGTACAGTCCTAGGTTAAAAAAAACAAAATCAAAATGACAACTCACAAGAGGAGGGAAATGGTAAGTGGCCTGCTTCCATTTTCATTCTTGTAACCACGGGCAACCTTACTTTCTACACAGAAAGCATGGAGGAAATTAGAAAGGTTAAGGAGATTGCATCAGAAATAATATCAGAAGCTAGAATTAGAATCTTTATTGGCCAAGTGTGATTAGATACACAAGGAATTTGTCTCCAGTGCATAAACTCAGAGTGTACATACAATAATGATAGATGATTATCATAGTCATTGTAAAAATACATTCATGATAAAACATTAGATAAAACACTTAAGTGATAATCATAGATACTAAAGAAGCAATCAACATAAATCATATTAAGATACTAAATAAACAGTATAACAGTACATGGGAGGAGGTTTTGAAGTATTTGTAGCAGGACTACCAGACTCTCTAACAGCTTTGCTCCGTATGCCATCTATCTAGTAAACTTGCAAGATTCATTTTTCTCGCTAAGTACATCTACACACTTGGACTAAATTTGTTTCTCTGTGTCATATATGTCGTTATATGTATAAATTTGTATCAAGACCTAAAATCCTATCCTATTATTCTATTCTATCCCTATCCTATTATTCTATTCTATTCTATCCCTATCCTATTATTCTATTCTATATTCTATCCCTATCCTATTATTCTATGCTATTCTAGCCTATTCCTATCCTATTATTCTATTCTTTATTCTATTCTATTTCTATCCTATTATTCTATTCTATCCCTATCCTATTATTCTATTCTATTCCATATTCTATTCTATCCCTATCCTATTATTCTATGCTATATTCTATTCTATTCCTATCCTATTATTCTATTCTATTCTATCCCTATCCTATTACTGTTCTTTATTCTATTCTATTCTATCCCTATCCTATTATTCTATGCTATTCTATTCTATCCCTATCCTATTATTCTATGCTATTCTATTCTATTCTATCCCTATCCTATTATTCTATTCTATTCCATATTCTATTCTATCCCTATCCTATTATTCTATGCTATATTCTATTCTATTCCTATCCTATTATTCTATTCTATTCTATCCCTATCCTATTACTGTTCTTTATTCTATTCTATCCCTATCCTATTATTCTATGCTATTCTATTCTATCCCTATCCTATTATTCTATGCTATTCTATTCTATTCTATCCCTATCCTATTATTCTATGCTATTCTAGCCTATTCCTATCCTATTATTCTATTCTTTATTCTATTCTATTTCTATCTTATTATTCTATTCTATCCCTATCCTATTATTCTATTCCATTCCATATTCTATTCTATCCCTATCCTATTATTCTATGCTATATTCTATTCTATATTCTATTCTATTCTATCCCTATCCTATTATTCTGTTCTTTATTCTTTCTATTCTATCCCTATCCTATTATTCTATGCTATTCTATTCTATCCCTATCCTATTATTCTATGCTATTCTATTCTATCCCTATCTTATTATTCTATGCTATTCTAGCCTATTCCTATCCTATTATTCTATTCTTTATTCTATTCTATTTCTATCCTATTATTCTATTCTATCCCTATCCTATTATTCTATTCCATTCCATATTCTATTCTATCCCTATCCTATTATTCTATGCTATATTCTATTCTATATTCTATTCTATTCCTATTCTATTCTATTCTATCCCTATCCTATTATTCAGTTCTTTATTCTATTCTATCCCTATCCTATTATTCTATGCTATTCTAGCCTATTCCTATCCTATTATTCTATTATTTATTCTATTCTATTTCTATCCTATTATTCTATTCTATTCCATATTCTATTCTATCCCTATCCTATTATTCTATGCCTATTCTATTCTATCCCTATCCTATTGTCTTGTCCTAGCCTATCCTGATGCTCCAGTGGACGGTTTTGGGAAGGGGAAACAACGGCCTGGCCAAGGGGGTGGACAGGCAACAACTGCGGGCTCAAAGCCTTGGTTGGCATCGACTGCAGGCGCGAAAGCTGCTGCTAAGCCGGAGTCCGCTTGGGCAAGGTGCCACTTCCGTGGGGTTGCTAGGAATTATTTACCTGCCACCCAGCAAAGGACAGATGGCGATGGGGTTTTTTGGGGGGGGGGCAACTAATTATGGCCGTTATTGCAAAAGCCCCCCCCCCAGGGGGAGATGTCTTAAGCCGATGCCAGGCCCACGGCCGGACCCCGAAGCACGCAGGGCCCCCACTACCCTTACAATTGCAAGCCCCCCGTGTTTCGTGGCTTTTAGGGGCAAGGGGAGGAAAGCGAAGGAGAAGCGCCCCCAAAGAAGAGGCTCCATTCAGGCCGCGGCCTTGTTTCTTCCCGCCGGCCGGATCTGGCACAACCTGCCCGTCTCCTAGCAACCGTCCATCCACCATTCTCCAACCCCCCCCCCATCAAAATGGCGGCGGGGAAAGAGGAGACGGGGAACCCCCATTGCCCGCAGATGGAGCACGTGACCGAAGGGGAAGGGAAGGCGAGGGGGTGGGCCGACGCCTTGGGGCTCGTCTTTTCCACGGCGCGCGCGCGCAGGCGTGACAGGGAGGGGGGCCAATCGGAAAGCGCGGGCCGGCCTCGTAAGGCGGGCTTTAAAAGACAAGCCCCGCCGGGCGCCTGCGCCAAGCCGAAGGCGGGGTGGGCGGAGACCGTGTCAGCCGTGTAAAAGGCAGCCATTGCGCCTGCGCCGTGGGAGCCCAGAGACGGCGGCCTTGACAGCTTGCGCCTTGTGTGCCGTAGAAAGGGGGTGGAGAGGAGAAGGAGGAGGGGGGGGAAGCGCGGAACGACGCCGGCGCATGCGCGGTAGCGGCCAGGCGCGGGAGGGGGGCCCCGCTCGGGTGGAGAGAGCCGCCGTCGCCGCCCGGGCTGCGTGAGAGGATTTCCCCGGTGGTTGCGCCTCCGTCGCGGCCCGTCATCCATCCCCGCCGCCGGGGCCTGCTCGGCTTCTGCCGCCGTTGGAGTCCCGGCCCCTCCCGAGGGGGAGGCAGGAAAGGCCCCGGGAGCCTCCGCCGGGACAGCCGGATCATGTCCGCCGCGGCCAGAGCACCAAACTGTCCACGACGGAGCGCATCGTCAAAGGTGAGGAGGAAGAAGCCAGGAGGAGGAGGGCGACCGGGCCCCCGTTTTGAGGCGGCGGGGCCTCCCCAGGCAGCGATTGGGAACCGCTTGGCCTCCCTCCGCGGCTGAAGCGTCTCCTTGGGGTTGGAGGAGGGAGGAGAGAGGGGGAGAGAGGGAGAGGAGAGGGGGAGGAGAGAGGGGGAGAGGAGAGGGAGGAGAAGGGGAGAGAGAGGAAGGTGGAGAAAGGGGGGAGAGGAGGGATGGAGGAGAGAGGGAGGGATAGGAGAGGAGGAGGGAGGAGAGGGAGAGAGGGAGGAGGAGAGAGGGAGAGGGAGGAGAGTGGGGAGGACAGAAAAGAGTGGGGAGAGGGGAGGAGAGGAGAGAGGGGGGAGAGGGGGGAGAGGAAGAGGGGAGAGAGAGAGGGGGGAGGAGAGGGAGGAGAGGAGAGAGGGGGAGGAGAGGGGGAGAGGAGAGGAGAGGGGGAGAGGAGAGGGAGGAGAAGGGAGAGGAGAGGAGAGGGGGGAAAGGGGGAGGAGAGGGATGGAGGAGAGAGGGAGAGGGAGGAGAGGAGGAGGGGGAGAGAGGGTGGAGGAGAGAGGGAGAGGGAGGAGAGTGGGGAGTGGGGAGGACAGAAAAGAGTGGGGAGTGGAGAGAGGGAGGAGAGGAGGAGAGAAGGGGAGAGGAGGAGAGAAGGAGAAGAGAGGGAGAGAGGGGGGAGGAGAGAAGGGGAGAGGAGGAGGGAGGAGAGAGAGGGGGAGAAGAGAGGGAGAGAGGGGGGAGAGGGGTGGAGGAAGAGGTAAACGGGCACCACTTACTTTCCCTCCTCCTCCCCCCCCACCATCCCCGCAGCAGGGTTGGTTGGGGATGATGGGCTCTGGAATCGGGCCACGAGGCTCTCGCTTGCTTTGGATCAGGCAGGCAGGCCGGATCCTCTTCCCTGCGGAGTGGGGGGGGGGGGAGAGAATTTGCAGAAGCTGTGAAAGCCTGCAGCTGGGGTGACGGGGGTGGGAAAGCTATTTCTGGCCTTTTTTTCAACCCCCCCCCCTTTCGTGGTCGGAGGAAAGGATGCTTGCTGGGTGGGTGGAAAATCAGCCCCCTCAATCAACCAACAACCCCCCCTGCCAAGAAGGTGGTGAGGGGGGGGGGAGAGGGGAGGAAAGTGGCCGGTGATTTTGGGGTGGGGTGGAAGATGCTTCTCCTGGAGGGAAGGAAGCAGCCTCTTCCTTCCTCTGTCTCCCCACCACTACGAAGGGAGATGTGCAAGGATGAGACCAGGCCTGCGAAGTGTCCCTGGAGCGGATTAAAAGGGTTCTTATAGCCAGGCTGAGATTCTGGTGCTTTGCTGGGGGGGGTGGGGGGTGGAGGGGGGGATTTCCGAGGCCTGCTCACTTGGTGGAAGCCCTTTTCCAGGGGCTTTAGGCAGGTGGCTGGTGGGGGTGGGAGGCTTCCTTGCAAAAGGGTCTGTGATTCAAGCACAGGGAGTCCTCGACTTATGACTGCGATTGAACATTTCTGTTGCTATTGTTGTGCACCGGAGACAAATTCCTGGTGTGTCTAATCACACTTGGCCAATAAAGAATTTTCTCTTCTCTTCTGTTCCTTATTCTGTTCCTTATTCTATTCATTCTAATCCTTCTTCTCTTCCTTCTTCTCTTCTCTTCCTTATTCTCTTTATTCCTTATTCTATTCAATTCTATTCCTTCTCTCTTCCTTCTTCTCTTCCTTCTTCTCTTCCTTCTTCTCTTCTCTTCCTTCTTCCCTTCCTTCTCTTCTATTCCTTCTTCTCTTCCTTCTTCTCTTCTATTCCTTCTTCTCTTCTATTCCTTCTTCTCTTCCTTCTTCCCTTCTTCTCTTCTATTCTTTATTCCCTTCCTTCTTCTCTTCCTTCTTCTCTCCTTCTCTCTTCTCTTCCTTCTTCCCTTCCTTCTCTCTTCCTTCTTCTCTTCTCTTCCTTCTTCCCTTCCTTCTTCTCTTCTATTCCTTCTTCTCTTCCTTCTCTTCTATTCCTTATTCTATTCATTCTCTTCCTTCTTCTCTTCTCTTCCTTCTTCTCTTCCTTCTCTTCCTTCTTTTCTTCCTTATTCTCTTCTATTCCTTATTCTATTCATTTTATTCCTTATTCTATTCTCTTCCTTATTCTCTTCCCTCTTCTCTTCTCTCTTCTCTTCCTTTTTCTCTTCTCTCCTAAAGGGTAGTTCAGTTAGTTGTGCCTCATTTAGGACTTTCGTTGCCGCGGTGGTTGAGGGAATTGCTGCAGCTGTTCCTAACACGGTTGTGAAGTGAATCTGCCTTCCCCGTTTGACTTGGCTTGTCAGGAGGTCACGTGACCATGGGGACACAGCAGCTGTCATAGATATGAGTCAGTTGCCAAGCGGCTGAATGTTGATCACGTGAGCATGGGGGGCATGGTTGTAAGTCACTTTTTTCAGTGCTGTCGTAACTTGGAATGGTCACTAAAGGAACAGTTGTAAGTCAAGGACTACCTGTAGAAATTCTTGGATGACAGAAGTAGCTTGGAATGGCAGGTCATTGACAGGTGATCTTGATCCTTCCCTTCTCTTGTGGTTGGTCCCTTGGAGCTGTTCAGAGATTGTCTGCAAAGGTTACCTTTAGGAAGTCGGTTAATCATCTATTGATACCTGGTGAATTTGACCACTTTTTAAAAAGAAGTGATAAGCCAAGCATGAATTTTGAAAGGGAGAAACGTGTACCCCCTGATGGGAAAATTAGGTGTGACTTATTGTGTTTGTAGGCTATCTGGCATCTTTCCTCCCTTCCTGAAGTGAAATTAACCAGGTGATTAATATTGGAGAATGGTGTCATCAGACCCCTCAATCCTAAAAGACTTTACTATGGCATAAAGTTATGCTGCAAATAAGTCTTGGCAGATTCTCTCTGATTCCTGATTTAGTTGTCTTGGGTTTATGTATTTAATGATTGAGGGGAAAACACCCCTCCCCAGTCATATTATGGACCTGAAGGGACACATACCATTTTTTTTTTAAAAAAAAACCCTAGAGATAGTGGAAATAAGAATATGGAAAAGTTATTTGAGAAGAAGCAATGGTTGGAAACTAATGAAGGAGAGAAGCAACCTAGAACTAAGGAGAAATTTCTTGACATTGAGAATAATAAACCATTGAAATGGCTTGCTTTCAGAAGCTATGGGTGCTCCATCACTGGAGGCTTTTAAAAAGAGACCGGACAGCCATTTATCTGAAATGGTATATGGTCTCCTGCATGAGCAGGGGGTTGGACTAGAAGATCTCCAAGATATTGGGATTTACAGTTTGAAGTTGAACACTTATTAAAAACCAGTCAAGCGCAATACCTAAAGCAGGGGTCTCAAACTCAAAGCCCGGGGGGGCAGATGCGGCCTACGGGTGCTTAGATCCAGCCCATGGGGCTGCCCTGGAAACAGCGAAGGACTGGCCTGCAGTGCCTTTGCCAGTGAAAATGGAGCTCAGGAGGGCCACATGGGGCCCTCCCAGGCCCCGTTTTCGGCTGCGATGGCCTCCTGCAGCCCTCTGCCAGCGAAAATGGAGCTCAGGAGGGCCACACGCAGCCCCCCTCCCCGGGGACTCTGTTTTTACTGGCAGAAGGCTAGCAAAACAAACTATAAAAACAAAACAAAAAAGGAGAAATGTTTTCCCTTTTGCATTTGAGTATCCAAGAAGGACAGGAAAGGAGAAAGGGAAAGAGGAAAGACAAAGAAAAAGATGGGAAGAGAGCAAGGAAGGAAAAAGGAAGGAAGGAGGGAGGGAGGGAGGGAAGGAAGGAAGGAAGGAAGGAAGGAAGGAAAGGAAGGAAGGAAGGAAGGAAGGAAGGAGAGAGGAGAAGATTATAATGAGAGGCAGGGAGGGGTCTGGGGGTCCTGCCTTAGCACTTGGCCACCACAGGTGACATGAGTGACATTGAGCTGGCCAAGCTCACCCCAGCCACGCCCTCCCAGCCCCCCCCCAAGGTCAAACACAACCCTGATGTGGCACTCAATGAAATCGAGTTTGACACCCCTGACCTAAAGGACTTCCTCAGTATCTGGAAATATTGAACTTATCAGACCTGAACACTGTAATTTTACAAAAGAATCCCAGTCTTCTTGAAATTGTCTATATCCTTAGATGCTACCTGAAATAATTCTTAGATCCTTAATTGGGGCTTGAATTATTGAGTTTCTTCCAATCTTGGACTGTGAATTAAATTGTAGATTACCTAAACGTAATATTTTCTTTAAATAATCAGCACCTAGTTAAATTACAGAAATTCAGA